CACAGGATCGTCATCAAAAGGGCACGCCATGCTCAGTAACCTTCTGAAACAAACTTACCCTGGAACATAACCTGTTCAGTAGCAGGTTATCTTCAGAGAGTAAGCTGTTATGGTTACGTACATACCCAGAAAGTTAACCTCCGTTTTTGGAACCGAAAGTTGAGGTTATCCACTAACTTACCCTTAAACTTACCTGGGTATGTCACATAACCTGCTTTCTGGAATACCCCCCAGGACAAATTAATCGAAAATAAACTGCATGTTAATGCGCTGAAGTTCTGGATGGGATCCTGCCATAACACCTTTGAGGGCAGTGTATTATGGGAAATTATTCACTGGCCCACCTAATCATAAGTTAGGCCCACTTGGGGGTTATGCATATGACTCTCCAAGTTTCAGCTACTTGTTATTCAGTTAATTGGTAATTGTTAGTCATAATGCCTTTTTGACAATTGATTTTAAAAAGAGCCTAATATTTAAATACCCCTCCACCAAGTGTCTTTCACACAGTAAATAACGAACAGCCAGCGTCCATCCCTCTGAGGACATTAGAATCAGAGGACCATATTCAGCAATGATTAAACAAGGGCCAATCATCTCCTGATGTTCACCTAGGGTCCCCTCTCACAAGGAAACAGCAGAGACAGAGATCTCAGTCACTCCACCACCCCCACCCCTGGCCCCTAAACACCAAAACAAGGCACTGATCCTCCAGCCACCAACTGAGTGCTGTCAACCGGTCCTTCCAAAAGGCCTATTTCAACCCTGTTTAGGCAACCCCAGATTTTTAAATGTCATTATCTTTACTTGGAGATTTCAGAATGTGTAGGAGTGAAGCCTGGGTAGATTTCAGTTATCCTGCAGTCTTACTGGCAGGATTCTGGCTGATTCTTTTTCATGACTTCTCAATTGGATAAATGAAATGCTAACTTCAGGGCAGGGCTGTTGCCCATGTCTGGGAGATACGCAATTCAGGCCATATATTACCCCTCCCGAATATGCCACCTCCTTCTGCATAGCCTACTGTTTGCTCCCAGGGGGTAGGGCAGACCAGGGCAGCAGTCCAGCATGCTGCCCTGCAGGCTGAAGCTGACTCTGAAGTTTCACTTCTCATGTTTTTGGTCATCAGCCAAATGATCATTTTAATATTCGGGGCAGCAATAAATTATTCTTTGTGGCTGATTTTTACTCAGGGCATTAACATGGCATTGAGTGCAGCCCACACACACCCCACCACTCCCAACCCAGTATACCAGTATCACCTGCAGCCAGACAAAGTGCGGAGCAGGCATGTGTGTTTATTTTAAAATGATATGACTGAGGTTTTTATGACCAGCATGGTTTTCTACACAGGCCTGTCCAGGTGGCCCTCTGACTGTACTGTCATGGCCAATTCTCCACTGTAAGCCCTCAGGAAAGAGTTCTGATCCATCTCAGAGGCCACTGGACAGGGCCGGGACCTGGGAACATGTGCTAGGGGAGGCTAGGGCATTGAAAAAGGCAGATGGGGGTATACAAATGGAGCCATTAATCAGAGGTCTGTGCCTGGATGGGGGGTGGTAATGAGGCTGGGGAGAGGCACAGCACCATGGCGCCACACTCAGTCTCAATTATAGCCCCCCCAAGACCCCCCAACCCCAAGATTTAATACGCCTGTGAACTCTCTGTCTGCCCCAGCCCCCGCCCCACCCAAGCCTCGTTATTCTGGCATGCTCCATAATGAGCATGGGTTTGCCGCTGCTTAACTGATGCTGATTAATGAAACGTTAACGATGGCCTAACATCTAGGTGTTACAGATAATTAAGCATCAGTGAGCTTCCATTTATGGTATGGCTGGTGGATCATGCCGCACTTCTCCACAGCAACCTCAAGGAGGCGAGAGCCGTTCACTCGCACTCCTCACAAGAGGAAATTACATGCTTTTACCCAAGGCCTCCCTGTCCTTCAGAAGGAGTCCAGGCACACGGGGCAGATGCTCCACTACAATAATTCATGAACACCTTCACCTCAATCACGCCCTTTAATTAGCACGTCTTCCACTATTGATGGATACAGAGGGCTGTATAAATTCATCCAGCAGCTGTCTGGCCCAATGCACCTCCATCAAAATGTCTCTGTAAGAACAAGCAACAAAGCCCGCATGCTTGATGAAATACATAAACTTTTCCTAACGGTCTACCGTGTTCTCAAGGACTGCCGCAAAGTTTCACAGCCTTGGAGAGAGTGAGAAAAAGCATACACACAGATGGGATTTTCATTGAGGACTGTACCTTACGTGGGCTTGGATATGTAAACTTTCTTCGTAAGCAGGTGCCGGCGCGGACTATGGACCTGTCATCACAGAAGGCTGACACCATGCAAAGAACTCCAAGTGAGATGGCCCTTCTAACTGCAAGAGCATGGATGTGACTGTAATACAAGAAACAGCAATTTAACATGAACCCAAGCTAGAGGTGTTGCATGACTTTTGATGGGATAACTGCTATCCCTCATGGAGACAAGGCTGTGCAAAAATAGGCAAAACTGCATCCCTCAACATGTAGGGATCTAGAATATTCAGGGCCACCTCAAGCTTCACCCAAGCACCCTGCTCCAGTGCCCGCATGTTCTTCCAGCTTTTGAGAGCAGGAGGGAACTGGTAGTCTGTCAGCCCGAGTTTGCTAATTGTTCTGGATCTCAGCCATCAGAAGCCATTGCAGAATCAGTCAGCCAACAGGCGAGATGCAGAGTGCAATGGCTGTGACGCATTAATGGGGGGGAAAGATGCAGAAAAAAGGGCTTGTTTCAATCTAATGGGGCCCTAATGGGGGCCCAAAAACTATCCATGGGGTTTTTATGCCTCAGAGATTTGAAGGAATTTTATGTTACCTTATGCTTCTGCTTGTCTTACGCGCCTCCAAAGTGCAGTTTGGCTCTATAATTTACTTCTAAAATGGGCAGCAAGGTTCATTAACCACAGGGCCTCAATGGTGCCATAATCTTGGTCAGAAATGCAGGATTGGGCAGCATGGCCTTGCAGGCCAGTTCCACTGCAGTGTGGTGTGTCTGACCGCTTCCGTCTGCCACAGGGATCGTGAGCGCCATCTTGTTCATGGTGCTGTCCCTGGCTCTGACCCTGATGAGGTTCATCTACCGGCACAACGGCATCCACAACCTCGAAGAGCTCAGAGCCACCGAGAACGTCATTGCAAGCCGGAGGGGAGAGTTCGCCAGGCAGGGGGTGGTAGATGAAAGCAAACAGGAATTCTTCATCTGACAGGGGAACACTGCTGAAAGTGAGGGGAACCAACAAGAACCTACTCCAATGGCTGATGGCAAACGGCCAGCCTAGCGTTCCAGGTAACTGGTAAACCTTACCCATTACTACCTAGAAACACCCTTTGTATTTCTCTATTGCTATATTGGGTAACACTTTACTTGCCCATGTTTTTAGTAATTTATAAACACATTCATAACAAATAATTTTGCATTCATAAAGCATTATAAACATGGCTAGAAATATTCATCACAACTCGTAACACATTATACGCATGTGTATTACACATTATGACTTCCTTATGAAGCTCTCATGTATAATGCACTATAGACACCTTTACAATGCAGTACAAAGCATCCTTAATGCTCATACTGACCAGTATAATGTATTATAAAGGTATCTATAGTGCATTGTACATGAGTGCTTCATAAGGCAGTCATAAGGCATGATAAACATGGGTATAATGTGTTATGCCTTTTTATAAATATTTATAATCATGTTTATAATGTTTTATGAATGCATTATAATGCATTATGAATTTGTTTATAAATGACTAAAAATGTGGCCTTAGGTAAAGTGTTTCTAACTGAGGCACCTTCGTGTTCCTGAACTTTTCATTTGCTGTCCATGAAATTATTTCTGGAGGGGTGATCTGCCTTCAAAGGGAACCTCTAAGGAGTCATTAGCCACTGTCATCGGCGATGACTGCTCTGATGTCTCAGAGTAGGCACCTCCATCCTGTACCGAAATCTACCCTTTCAAATCATTCATGTGGATAGAAATAGAATGGAGGTTCATACTGTATATGATTAATATGCTATTTCAACATGTATGTAATTGCTACTGTATTTCTGAAAACAGAAACATGTTACTTTTACCGCTAAATATTAACTGGCATAATTCTGTCTGTTCTGTCACATTTATTTTGTTCCATTTGTCGGGAAGATGATAGACAATTGACAGCAAAATAATAGCCATCTTTATCGTCACCCCTCAGTAATGTCGAAGTTGAAAATGATAAAACGAGGCGTGGCCTTTAATGTGCTATGTAATCCATCAGCTTCTATAGAAACACGAAAGCACTAAAGCCTGTGACCTGCATGACCCCCCCCCCCCCCCCAGCCAATGATGTGTTGGAGATCAGAGAAGGGGTGTCAATTACATGTTCCTGTTCTCTTTTCTGCTAGCTGTACCTGCGTCATAGCATCCTCAATGCTGGGGGGAGGGGAGTTGGGACATGTAGCCAGCTGCTAAAATTAGTTTGTACCCCCCTCCAAATTTACAACATATTACCATGTCTATCAACCCCCCACCCCACCAAAATTAATACCTGGCTACACACTTGCGTACTGATCTCTTACAGATCTCGCTGTATGAATTGTATATTTTTTATTGCTTTTCATGTATTATTTAAACATGCCCAGTTTTAAATGGCTATTGTCAAATAAACCAGTGTTTATTGTTATTTGTCTCTTCAAAGACTTGTACTTCCTCTGATAAAGTATTGTAGATGTACCCATGAAGAACAGATTTTTTTATTTAAAAAATAAAACCTTTATATGTGTAAAAGAACCTTTAATACACATTATGGCTTTCACCTTAAAAATACTGAGATCAATACGATAAGTGTGTAAAGAAAGAAAACGTGAGATGAGGCTGGAATGTTTGACATCACATCCTAGCACCTCAGCAGAGGAGTGACCAGAGCTCAACTGAGATGGGTCACCTGTCAGGACAGGCATATTCTCGGACACCAGGACCAACAGGCATATTCCTGGGCAGCCAGCATGGCCTGGCACAGCAGAAGGACCCCAGTGAGCCTAACTTGGAGTAGGGGACTGTGTCCGAATTCAGGAGCTGCACCTAAGCCTGCAGACGTCTCAGCAGTGCAACAAGGTTGTTCCATTTCGAAGGCTCCTTCAAATGCAGTCTAGACATGTGCCCTCCTTTTGCTGAGTTGCAAAGAATCCATCTGAGCCCAGAGGTGGCAATTTCAGGTCCAGAAAGTAAAAATCCAGACCAAGATTTTGTTCCAACCAACCAGTTGAGTACTCTGTGACTGACTCTTTATGTTCAACTGGTTGGTTGAAAGTAAATCATGGTCTGGAATTTTACTTTCAGGACCTGAAATTGCCACCTCTGCTGGTGACAGCCAGACCATTCCATTTGACAACGCTTCGACCTTTAAAGAACGTAGCCTACAAAGATTATGGCTTTATAAACCGTGTCCTTCAAAGTATACAGCCCCTGAATTTGGACACAGCCAATGTGAATAGCCAGCCCTGGAAACATCTGAGCATAAGGTGTAGAAGAACTGCCTGAAGAACCCTTTTTGTAAAATATTAATTATAAGTGCAGTGGTTATTATTCTGAAGTCAAAAATGTTTCATTTATTGTCATGAGATTCTACAACCTAAAAGCAAATGAAAAATTACATTAGACCTCAAAAAGCTATGTCAGCTATTACAATGGAGTAAAATGAATGTACACATGTGACATTTTCTGTCCAGTACAGTGGCTGAACCATTAATAGAAGTTAAAGCGAGGAAATCTTCCTGATAATATGGATTACTATTTGGATAGGGCTGTCGTGGACTGAGGAGGCAGTCAGCTTCCCTTTTTATGTAACCGAAGCATTAAGATGAAACAGAAATCACTCAGAAATGTAAATCATTCTTCAAATGAAACTATCTGCCCCTAATTTATTACAAACAAAAACAGGGACCTTATTTTAGCAGCTGAAAACAGCTCCTAATTAGGAGCGAATTGGGTCCCATTGAGGGACAAGCTCTTCAAAAAAAAAAAAACAAGAAAAAAAATCCAACAAGTTTCAAAGGAATGAGCATCATGGCTAAAGGCTCTTGGGGGTTAAGGCCCTCTGACAGAATCTTCCACAGCTTGAGCTATGAAACACAATCCATAAACATCAGCCTGCGTCAGATATCCCGATATAAAGTTTTCCAGAACTTTTTCATGTGCCCAAAATAACTGTTTCCCCAAACAAGAAGTAGGGAGCTTGAAAAAGCCAATAAAGGGCTGAAGACAGTGGGTCTAAGCTGCAGTATGTCTGTCTCACTGACCTACCATCTTGGCACTTCAAGTCATCTTCTGATTCCATCACTAACTTCTAGGTCTCCATTCTGACAATATATTAGAAACATTAGACTAGGTGGTCCACGCAGCCCCAAAAACCGGGGTCTTTCAGAACATTTAACATAACAGATGAGCTAATTACATTGTGCAGTGAAACCATGGAAAACAGGAGGAAGTCAAGCGAGGAGACTGTCCCGTTCAGCTTAATGCTTGTTAGTGTTCATGTCTCTCAGCATCACAGAGAACAAAACAGACCCAGTTGACCAGAGCAGAAACTCATCCCTGATGTGAATAATCACTATGTGACAGACTTCAGACTGACTTCGATTAAATAAAAGCAGGGCAGAGGGACATTTCTCATCAGAAGACGATGCTCTCACGCCAAGCAAAAGGCATTCACAAGCAGTCACACACTCCATTTTTGGCACTGCTGTAGGCCTTGCAGCTGCTTTGCGTTGAACCTTAAGGCACAGATTCACAATAAGGAAAATGCCATAGTCCAAGGTCGTTTTGCAGATGTGCACTGCATCTATGGCCAGTCATAAGATTAGAAAGGAAAATGGTAAAGGTTTTGACTAAATGACAAATACTATCAGTCTGTAACAAGCAGGCAAACAGCCTGAACGTGACTTGAGTCAAAATGTGAAAATTGCACTTAAATGTGTTAAGGAGGAAAATCTTGATTTTACATCAAGCTAAAAAGTTGGCTGATGCTGGGGAAAGGTGAAACAGTGGGGGTGGTTTGTATGGTTGAGTGCAGTGTGAGGTGGGGGGTAAAGAGGTAAAAGGTTCGGGGTTCAGCCCATTTGTAGAATATCTATTGCTGGAGAGCCGGCAACATCTGCGGAGGAACGTGACCCCATGAGGATGTGGGAAATGTGTTTACCTTAATTACAGCATAATGTAGGGTAAGCAAGGTCTCACGTCAACAAGCCAGACAGCAAGAGGCGGAACACCGGCAGAATGGGAGCACCTGGAGCTCTGAGTATGGCTGGGAATGCTGCGACCTGGAAAAGCTCTGTCACATTGTGCCGTGCTCTCCTTAGCATTCAAGAAAAACACCCCATGCCCATATAAACAGTGTGAATGAGGCTCCCTGTACAGCACACTTGCTTAATGAATGTGTTCAAGTTCCATGAATATGACACAGCTGCAGAAGGAACAGTGATGAGACATATCACCATGTCCTTTTCACATCAAGCACTACGTATTAACTGTAATTCTGTTAGAGTAGAGGAAGAGAATAGAGAACGTGGCGTGAGCCTTAAAAGACGGGGGTGCTCTTTCCAATTAGGGGTGATTGTCACTGGAGATTCCATCTCTGGGCTCACTTACAATTCAAAAGAAATGATTGAACAATGGAAATGAGCTCTCAGTCTCACATTATCTGAACTGAAGATGGAAATAATTCATGGCTCTCTAAATTCAATTCATACCACAGAACAATTGTTTAAATTACAATAAACTGTTTTATCTGTGGCCCTTGGGTATAGAAGAGAAATTCAGCATCTCACATGCATTTCTTCAGTCCACAGGTATTCTGTCAGATGCTAGTGTCAGAAGTTCAAGGACCACATCTTCTAGGGGACCTACATTTCAGTCCCATGGGATGGTTGCATGATGTTCTGAAAAGCAACATAAAGAGACCAAAAACCCAAAAAAGTCCTGTCCCTATATTCTGTGGAAATGTCTTGTGTGTTCAGTGACCCTCTGATATGAAATATTAGTATCATAGCATTTTGGTGTGCAAATAAAAAAAATTAAAAAAAACTTAATAATTATTATTATTATGAATCAACGATTAAGAAGAATAAACTAGAAGAATAAATAATAAGAACAATTCTTATTATTTTCCAGTTCTATGTCTTCAGTGGAGTGTTAGGATCATTTCCTCCTCGCCTTCTTTCCATGCAGCAGTCACTCCTATGCCATACCCGTGCCCAACGCCCGCTAATCCTCGGAATATCTGTGGAATATGTGGATCTCAGTGTGACAGCCACGAGGGACCTTCCGGCTCGCCAGCCCAGCTTCCGGCCGCTGTGTCAGCAGACCTGCTGTGGGCCTCTCTGGTCACACCTTTGCTTCGCAAGCTGATGCCACCCACATTTCGTATATTTTTAGACACTCTCACGGCTGTCCTCCCATAGGCTGATGTGACGAATCCCAGAGCAGCTGCCAAATTGCATGGGTTATAGATATGTGTGTCAGTCCCTCTTGCGTTTCCTTCACTGGT